AGTATATTTAATTATTACTTCCTTTTTTGTCTTTTTTCCCTCTAATAAGATGAAGTTTCTACAAGAACAGAATCATTATGCGTCTCTGTCCAATAAAACCCAGCAAAGTGCTTTGCTAATAAATAATGATTAGTAAAAAGGATTGCTAATTTAAAAAATTCAGTGACTCTGAGACTTCCTGTCACAAACTAAAAAAACTGGCCTGGCCAGCATGGCTCAGTGGTTGAGTGTCGACCTATGAACCAGGAGGTCACCGTTTGATTCCCAGTCAGGGCACATGCCCAGGTTGCAGGCTCGATCCCCAGTAGGGGGGCATGAAGGAGACAGCCGATAAATGATTCTCATCATTGATGTTTCTCTCTCTCTCTTCCTCTTTGAAATCAATTAAAAAAATACTTAAAAAAATTAAAAAGCTATAATGACATCTTCTATTTCTCTACACCAGTGTTTCTCTTGGATTTAAAAAAGCTTATTAGCTTTAGGGATCTTTTTGTAATGAGAGGCCAGTATTTGTTCCGAAAGCCTTGAGTTCACAAAAGGAAAGATAAAGTGGTGAATGCCTAAAGTAAAGTATCATAATGATGCTCTCCCTTCTTCTTAGGATTCTAGCCAGCTGCTATGTTGGGAGGGTGAGGAGCAAGGGTTAGTAACAGGCAGGGACATGGCAGCTGCCACCTTAGAGATCATCTGGTTCTGACACCAGCTTTGTTTCTTCATCTCGGTAATAATGGAGCTGAATATATTTTAAGATCTCTCATTAGATCCTGAAGTACTTTGTGCCCAGCTCTCTCCAGTGCTCTCTTTAATGCTGATATGAAAAAGGGATAGGTGGTCTGTTGTGGGTTAGTTTACCTGTTATAAAAGTGACAGCTCCATTTGTGAGGTATTTAAAATTTAGGGCCTACAATAGGAAGAATCAAATTTTTTTCTTTATTATATCTAGTGATAGGATAAACACGAAGTTGTATTTTGTAATTTCCCATTTGTTGATTTTTATTTACTGCCCATGCTTCTGACAGCTTGCAAAATGGGAAATATAAACAACAAAAGAAATGGGAAAGTGTTTTACCTTACTAGAAATAAATTGAAATATAGTTAGCAAAATAAATGGGAAGTGTTCTACTGTACTAGCAGTGAGTTGCAAATTTAAACAAGTTACTGCTGTTTGTCTTTAAAATTAAATATATAAGCACTATTGTGAAATGAGTATTCTTGCAGAGTTGATGAGTATAAAGAGATAAAATTTTTTGGAAAGTGATTTGGAGCCCTAACTGGTTTGGCTCAGTGGATGGAGCGTCGGCCTGCAGACTGAAAGGTCCCAGGTTCGATTCCGGCTAAGGGCATGTGCCTTGGTTGTGGGCACATCCCCAGTGGGGGGTGTGCAGGAGGCAGCTGATCGATGTTTCCAACTCTCTATCCCTCTCCCTTCCTCTCTGTGAAAAATCAATAAAATATATTAAAAAAAAGAAAGTGATTTGGAAATATGTATCATGAGTCTTAAAAATGTCTTTGATTTGAAAATTTGGCCTAATGAGGTAATGTTAAATAGAGAAAAATTGGGGCATATAATGTACATGTAAGTGTTATTTAGTGATAGGATCAAATTAGAAATGATGATACCTCTGAAAGATGGAATATATAGAACCATTAAAAAGAAAGCTTTTGAAGATTTATAAGACTATGGAGAAATTTTCATTATATAGCGTATAAAAGCAGTGAATATTTTTTTGTATTCATTTATTAACACCTTAATAGCAGATAACTATAGTGATCATTCTTTCCTTCCTCAGTCACCCTTCTCAACCTTGGGTAGTTTTTCTTCCTTGCTGGCTCTTTTATTTGTCTCCTTTGCTGCCGCCTCTTCTTTCTGTTTAATCTCTAAATGTGGGAGTACTTCAATGCTTGTCCTGGGTCCTGCCTCTTGAGTGTGTCACTTGTGGACGTGTAGTGTTATAATCTGGTATGGTCTGAAGCTATCCACCAGATGCACTGGCTCTGGGGCCTCCGGGGAGATGCAAAGTCAGCCACTGCCTGGGACCACCTGGCAGGAGTTACCCAGCTGTCTGCAGATGACTATTATTTGAATTGGGCTTGGAAATGTCCAGGTGAGGCCAAGTTGTGAAGTAAGACAGACTGGTGCTAGTGCCGGGTCTTTGGCCTCATATTGATAGGTATGGGGTACGCTGATGCCAGCTGCTTCTTGTTTAAGTGACTTTAGGAAAGTCTGAAGCCTGAGCCAGGACAGGCTATTCATATGGAAAAGCCATTGCAAAAGCTTGGTGAGGCTGCAAGTTGGATGGGGCGGGGTTTCAGGGAATCACCAGGGTGGAGCGAAAAGTGTGAGCCATGCTGATGGAAACTGCCAGTCAGCTCTGCAAGGGGGTGAGGTTCCAGTACAGAAACAATGCCCCCTGCGAGCATCTCCATTTGGGAGAAAGCCACCTTGAGTTCCTGCCCCGATGCCAGACAATCCAGTTCCTCCCTGTATGTGTCTGGTTTCCCCAGTGATGCTGCCCAATGCTGGAGATCAGAGGGAGGGGAACTGTATAAGTCTGTGTGCTGGCCCTTTAAGAGGGACTGCTTGAGTCTCCAGCAGCCTCTGTTTCACTCAGCCACAATCCCCACTGGTTTTTACAGCCTGAAGTTAAGGGACTTCTCTTCTCAGCTCAGGGGTCTGGTGTTGGGCTGGGACCCCTTGCTTCCTTCTCATGGGAGGCCTCTGCTGCGGAGGTATCCCTCTGGATTAAAAACACACGCTCCACGTGGGTGTCTGACCAGCCTGTTTTGTGCCTCTGCCCCTCCTACCATTCTCAGTGTGCTTTCTTCTTTACATCTCTAGTTGTAGGACTTCCATTCAGCTGGCTTTTCAGGCCGCCCTGAATGATGGTGGTTCTATATTTTAGTTGTAATTATTTTCTTTTATCTTTCTTTTTTTATTGATTTCAGAGAGGAAGGGAGAGGGAGAGAGATAGAAACATCAGTGATGAGAGAGAATCATTGACCAGCTGCCTCCTGCACGCCCCACTCTGGAGATCTAGCCCACAAGTCAGGCATGTGCCCTTGACTGGAATCGAACCCAGGACCCTTCAGTCCACAGGCTAATGCTCTATCCACTGAGCCAAACCAGCTAGGACTATTTTAGTTGTAATTTTGATGTGGTTGTGGGATAGTGCAAGTACTGGCATTTATCTACACCACCATCGTGGTTCTCCTAGCATAATGTTTTCAAGGCCCCTCTATGTTGCAGCTTCTATAAAAATTTTATTTCTTTTTATGGTTTAGTAACATTCCATTGTATCTATATACCACATTTTGTTTATCTAATCACCTATTTACTTCCGGTTATAAAGCGTTTGAAAATGTAACTATTAATTATTGGTAATTTACATAGCAGATTTACTGATTAAATAATAAATCATATGCTCTAGAATCCATACAATCTATATAGATATGAATAGAGCACAGATTATGGAGTTCCTTTTCCTTATATATATTTTTATAATCTAAGGAAGGAAAAATTCAACATGGTATTTGAAATTCTGAATCATTAAATGAGATAACCGTTAGTCATTTATGTTAACAGAACTTGTTCCATAAAGATTAATTTTATTAAAAGTGTAAGCTTTGTTTAAACTAATAATTACTGCCATCAAAGTCATTCTTCTTCTAAGGTTACATTATAATTTTGTTTCAGCTTTATTGAAGTCTATTTCAATCCTGCTATCCTATCATTTTACCTTGTTACCTTTATTGACCTGGAACCTGGCTCAGTGGTACATAGTAGGTGCTTAATAAATATATATTGAATCCATGAGTGTCTTTAGCTGTATAGTTACAAACATTCTTGTATTATTTTTGTAGATTATAGCAGTAAATTCATTTGTTATTTGTAGGTGTTACTAAACTCTCATAAGATACTCTTATTTCATATTCTTAAATTTTATTTAACTTTGTTCCTATATATTAAAAAAGATTAGGCTTTAGCTTTTAAAACTTTAGCACTGCAAAGTTTTCAACACTATTATGCCATGTTTTTAAACCTTAATTAAGCTACTAGAGCTCGGTGCATGAAATTTATGCACTGAGGATGGGGTCCCTCAGCCCGGCCTGCACCCTCTCGCAGTCTGGGACCCCTCAGGGGATGTCTGCCTGCTGGCTTTGGGCCTAAGCTGGCAGTCAAACATCCCTCTCACAGTCCGGGGCTCTCGCAGTCTGGGACCCCCTTGCTCCTTACCGCCTGCCTGCAGCGGAGTTGGGAGAGGCTCCCACCACCACCATTGCGCTCGCCAGCCATGAGCCCGGCTTCTGGCTGAGCAGAGCTCCCCCTGTGGGAGTGCACTGATCACCAGCGGGCAGCTCCTGCATTGAGTGTCTGCCCCCTGGTGATCAGTGTGCATCATAGCAACCGGTCATTCCGCCTTTTGGTCGATTTGTATATTAGGGTTTTATTATATAGGATAGAGTCAAAATGTTAGTGAAAGCAGTCATTTCCGGGCTTCTGTGCTTATGAGTCAGATTGTGACTATTTCTTTGGCTTTGGATTTGTGGTTTCTTGAACTAATTTAAGTGATGCAAAAGATGAGTCTCCTTAGGCGTTTCCTTTTTTTAAAAAGTGTAGTTGGTGTTTTATTGTAAACAGATTTTCTCCAAGGAAAACTTGTGTTCATCATCCATTATGAATGAAATCCCATCTGTATATATCAGTCCCTATATATTTTATTATTTGCTACCCATATGTGTGGGTTTTTACTTATTTGGTTTTTGTTGTGTTTTGTTTTGTTTTTTCCAAAAGAGTTCCTGCGGTTTTGAAGTAACTATTCTGACTCATTATTTTGCTAATTGCTAAATATTTTCCTTTAGGTTACTCCCAATCTACTTTGGCATTTGTAAATTCTTACACTTCTATTGGTTCCCTCTGACCACTGGGTGTATGACTCAGTGTCACATGCATGTGCTATTACTTGTCAGAGTGGAATTCTAAGACTTCCTCATGACATAGAACAGTTTAACTTTCGTGCTTTCTGGGCAGAGAAATGGTCCTGGGGACAGTTCTGCTTCCACCTGATAGTTATGGAAGAGATCAGGACACGTTGCTTTGCTGCCTGTGCAGTGAGGCCTCAGAAACTGCTCTACCTACCTTATCAGGTATGATTCAGAGAGTTTGGGGGAGGGTAGTTAATCACAGTAATCAAGTGTGAATGGAGATCTCAAAAAATGAATCGTATCTATTACTGTCTTTTTTCTTAGCCAGTGATACTTCTCGCGTGTGTGTGTATGTGTGTGTGTGTGTGCACTCTGGTATTTTACAGTAGGACCTCAATAAGTACTTACTGAAAAGAAGAATAAATGAGTAATATGTAGTATTTTGTGGTCAAGATACATGTGGCTTGATATGAAGAACTTAAACTATATTTTGAGAATTGTTGAATAATTTATCCAACCACTTTAAATAGTTTTTAAAGAGGTATTATAAACTATTAGCTTTTAGGAGAATATGCAGTTTGGTAAAGTAGAATTCTGGCAATACAAGTGTTTGTAAAATATTTGGAAATACCTAAGCTGAAAATTTGTATATTAATTTTTCTAATTTCTACCTGACAGATTTCTAATTAAATTGATAAAAGCTATTGAATGACTAATTGGTGAAAAGTGTTTTTAATACAATTAAATATTAAATTTATCTCTGAATTTCAGTTTTAATCTGGATTTTAACTTGTTTAATCCTGATAATTTACTTTGTATAAGCTGCTATTTTATGTTTAGCCTTATTTTTATTGTATCCTGCAAGTGTATCAGTAGAAAAAGGTAATAAAACTACCTTCTCTTAATACTCAAAATGTATTTCTGCTACCTGTGTCTTGTATTCTATATATGAAAATTAGTCTTCTGTTGCCTCATCTAAGTGTGATCTTCCCTATAACAATGATTAATAAAAGATCTATCTTCCTATCTAAGGTACCTAATGTATAGTAGTCACTCCACATTGTTCAAAAATAAAACATTTCCAGACTACACACTTGAATTTGGGTGGGTGCAGGACATCTGAATCATGTATATATTTTTCTGTTTTAAACTGTTGAGCAAAGTGGTGTAGACTGGATGGCACTGTAACATTTACTACTTGCTTTTCCTGTGGGATTTTTTTTGTCTTTTTTTGCCTTTATTTTTTAGCTTGTTCTCCTCATTTAGTTCTTTAAGTCTTTATGATTTAATATATGCTCATTCTTGGCCTCAGGAAAATGTTAGGATGTTGTGTTGTCTTTGGAAAATTTTCCCTTTGTTTTGTGCTACTGGTAGGATGGCGTGTCAGTGGATATCCTGTGCAGACAGATTGTACGGGAAGTTGACCCTTAGTTTTCTGAGAACAAAAGACTGAGTGGGGAAAAAAGAAGGAAGGAAGGAAATAAGATCTTTTGACTTGATCGTAAAGGTTATAAATTCAGAGATGGGGAGAAGGGGAGTGGGGATTAAAAAGGATTGTTTCCCATTATGGTTCTTTAGTACTTTGGCTTCAAAAATTACTTTTATCCTGTTTTTATTATTTTGTATACTTGAGAAATGTACAGTACTGTTTGGTCTGAATACGGGATGAACAAAAGTAGGTTTATAGTTGTTCATATGGAAAATAATAGAATAATTAATAAATAATATAAGAATAAACTGTTTTGCATACTCATAACTGTACTTACTTTTGCCTAACCCTGTATATCTTTTAAGTTTATATAAGATTGTGTCGTAGGTCTCATTCTTTTTTTCTCCTTTTGTCAAATAACATGGTTTTTAATAAGCTGACTTGCCTTTAACAATCCTCCTTTGAGCTTGTTGGAGTTCCTCTTCAGTACATGTGAACTACATGTCACAGACATGTCTTGCACATTGACAGTCTGTCACTCTACTGTCTTCTGTGCAGAATTTCTGCTCATCCAATTTTAATGCTTTCTCTTCTCTGAAACCTTTACTGACTTCAGAGCTTTGTGTTCTATTTTGTCCCCTGAGAGCATCCTTTGAGTACATGATTCATTTATTCATCTTTTTTGAGAGCCCCTTATATACATGCACTATTCTGGGTGCTTGTAATTTATCAGTGACCAAAGCAGACAGAAATCGCTGTCCTCATAAAACTGGTATTTTGGTTGGAGGAGTTAGTTAATACACATGAATATAAAAAAAAGTAAATTATATATTTTGTGGTATTAAGAGCTATGGAGAGAAATAAATTGGGAAGGGAGACATGGGGAATGTGGGAGTGTTGTCAGGAATAGATGTATTTTAAAATAAGACAGTAAAAAAATACTGCACCGAGGGGGTAACATTTGAGTGAAGTGTCATGTGGATATCTTGGGGAAGAATGGTTTCAGCGGTTCTCAACCTGTGGGTCGCGACTCCTTTGGGGGTCGAACGACTCTTTCACAGGGGTCGCCTAATACACCCTGCATAGCAGATATTTACGTTACGATTCATAACAGTAGCTACATTACAGTTATGAAGTAGCAACGAAAATAATTTTATGGTTGGGGGTCACCACAACATGAAGAACTGTATTAAAGGGTCGCAGCATTAGGAAGGTTGAGACCACTGGTTTGGGTAGAAGGTAAAGCCAGTACAAAGGTCCCAAGGCCTGCCTTGTCCAGGGAAGGCCAGTGGTCAGAATGGGGTATATTAGGGGAGTAGGAGTTGGAAGATGAATTGGGTAAGACAAGTTGTAAAGGGCCTTGTAGGCCCTTGTTAGGACTTTGGTTTTTACTATAAGATATAGGGAGCCATCTAAGATTTTGAGCAGAGGAGTAATACAATCTGATTTATGTTTTAAAAACTGGGTGGTGTGCCCTAGCCTGTTTAGCTCAGTGGATTGAGCATAGTGCACGCCCCCTGCGCTCCCCCTCCAGCCCCCAGACTGAAGGGCCCCAGATTTGATTCAGTCAAGGGCATGTACCTTGGTTGCAGGCTTGATCCCTGGCCCTGGCTGGGGTGCATGCAGGAGGCAACCAATTGATGTGTCTCACATTGATGTTTCTCTCTCTGTGTCTCTCCCTCTCCCTTTCACTCTCAATGGGAAAAATATTCTGGTGAGGATTAACAACAACAACCTGGCTGGTGTGTTGAGAACAGACAGTAGAGAACAAGGATAGAAGCATGGAGATCAGTTAGGATAGTGAAATAATCTAGGTAAGAGATGATGGTTATGACAGGGTGGTAGTAGTGGAGGGGGTGAGAAAGGAATAGATTCTGAATATTGAAAGCAGTGCCAATAAAATTTCCTGATGGGTTAGTTGTGATATGTGAGTGCAAAAAAGGAATCATGAATGACTCCAAGGTTTTTTGTTTGTTTGAAAATTTTTTTCTTTATTGATTAAGGTATTACATATGTGTCCTTATCACCCCATTGACTCCTCACCCCCACACTCATGCTCTCACCCCCCTGCTGTCTGTGTCCATTGGATTTGCTTATATGCATGCATACAAGTCCTTTGGTTGATCTCTT